TATCCTGACCAGGAATTCCCATGTCTTGCAGTTCCCGATAAATTTATTGCTCCAATAGCAAAAAAGTGTTTGTGCTAAGTGCGAATACTATCTCTTTCAGCCCAGACCCCTTAAAGGATGTTTCCCCTGGGTTCTCTCCATCAATGTTTTCTGTTCTTACTGGTTTTCTGGAAGCTTCATGTTGTATTTTGTGCAGTACTATTCAGATTTTTTCCTTATTTGATTTTCCAAACAAACACTGTGAAACAAGAGGCTTAACTGAAGAGCCCCTGGGACCCCATGGAGAAAATGGGACACATATATTAGGCTATTACTTTAGTAGACTATGATCTTTTCCCTCGTCCACTTAGATTTCTTTTATCAAATTAATCTGTCAAATACAATTAATAATAGTAATGTTTGTTGCTGCTTATTGCTGTGGGGCAATCAAAAGCCCTTCTGGATACAAGGGCTGAGGCTATCCATTGTTCAATAATGATTATATTTATTTTGAGGAAAATAGAGTGTGAGCAACAGGGTTTTCATTAGGTCACCTGAAAAACCGGAGAATTATTTCAGTGAAAGGGGCATCAGCAGCTTATCTCCAGTTTATTTCTCTCCTATATTTTATGCAGTGCAGATTTTTTTTTTCCATAAAGCATCTCTGAAACATGACTGGCAAAAATATTTGTGGGAGTTGTGATCAGAATTATGCGGCCACTCTGGATAATTCCTTCTATTATTTAATTTTAGCTATAGTAGAACTGTCAAATCAGCATGTATCAATCTCTAAAAAATGTTTTTCTGGAAACATTGTTTTAGGGAAAGGGTAGGAAGCTCCCAAGAAGTATTAGCAAGCCTCTAACATATGCAAAATATGATGGATTAGATCATGAGGATAATAAATATGTTGCGTGTTATAAAGTCTATGAGATAATAATCATACTTTGGTTTTAATTAGAATGCTACTCAGTTAAGAAGTTGCTGGTGGGGAGCAATCTGCCCCGCTGTCAGGTGGCTAAATCTGGTTACAGTCTGCATTGGTTTTAGGGAATATTTTTTAATGTGCTATTCAACTTTATTAGTCCCAATGGAAATTTCAAACCCATCTCTTGCCATTAATCCTCCTCTATTCATCTCCTGAATTATAAGAATGAATAAAACATTAATAAACCAAAAATAAATCCAAGCTACCTTACTTGCTGTCTTAGCCTATCTTGTAGGAAGAGTACAGTCCATGGACTGTTGCTTTTATAGCATTGGCGGTGCTTAGATACTGCAGGGCTGGGTGTACTTAGTGATCATCTGGAGATAATTCAGTCAGTTGCTGAAGAACTGAATATATTTATTTGCTTCAGTTCTCTTGGTCTAGCTGCATATAAACCTATTTTTATGTCCTCTAATATTTCTCCTCTGTAGAGATACTAATTAGAAAATTAGTCTAGAAATAGTGTTAATTTTATTTTTATTTTCTTTTTTATCTGATCCTCTAAGTGAATAAGAATAGAATGACCTTTCTTTCCCTGAACTTTGGATCTTTTTTCCTTTTAGTAATTCCTGTTCTTTGGATTCCACTTTTTAGTTTCCAACATTTTTTACATCCTTCTGTGACTAGTTCTTCTAATTAGACCCAAGTTTTTCTCACTTAAGCAAGATTGCACAAAGAGAAAAAGGACTTGTGGCATCAAACAAAAGGTGCTAAATAATCCTCCTCTCTCCTCCTCTAACTACTGTCTTCTATTATTAGGACCATCTTAGGAAAACTTTGCTGAGAGCCTTTGAGTTTCTATTTTGTCCACTTGCAAATATCTCTTTTCTCACTGAGTTCATACTACATGGCTAGGACACCAGCAAAGGAGGGGAGAGACTTTACTAATGTGGTATGTAGCCTTCTGCAAGTAAAATAACTGCAAATTTTTGTCTGTTTTTATCCTTTATTAATTGTATAAAGGATCCTGTGTATAAATTAGCATATCTGAAGAGCATCCCAAAAAGAAATCTGCTTGCTTTGTAAAGAAATTTGGAGGAATTTCAGAGAAAAGGTTAGAGGAGTTCCTCTGTCAGAGGTACTTTGCATACGAATGCATCTTTCTCTTTGTAGTTTGTTTGGTTTACTATTTGTTTTAGCCTTTACCATCTTCAGGAGGAAGACTCACACACAAGTTTTTAAGAGACTAAGCTCAATGACAGCAGTGCTTACAATTCTCAAATTTTCTGTGCTACAGCCCCATTTTCTAATGACAAAAGGGCAATTGCAGCTTCTGCACAGTTCCCGTACCTGCCCTGCGCCCCAGAAGAGAGTGGTGCCTCTGTCAGCCCTTGCAGTTTTATAGCTGGGTGTGCAAATCCATGACAATTCTGTCTAGTCTTCACCAGTTATCTGGTGTGTGATTTTGAACAACTTACTACACCATTCTGTAGCTGTTTGTGCTCTTGTCCACTGTCTGGTTTGTTTGTTCAGGCAAGAGCAGACATATTCACGATAAGCTAAATGTCATCAGACTTGATCCAGAGGGGAACAATCATAAGAGACATGGATCACAGTCACTGTATTATGCTACTTAGACTAACTGTTTTCGCACTCCCATCAAAATCTCACTTCAATGAATTGACCTGGCTCACAGGAAAGAGTAGAAAAATTTCCTCAATATATTCAATTATATGTTATTTTGTCTAGTATTGGAGCCCTATAGTTGCTTGACCAGACACGTCAGGATGGTGAGAGCACCCACTGAAGCACATTGCTAGCTGCCCGTTATCATCGTCTCCTGATGCGAAGTTCACTCTTCACATCAGGAGGTTTACTCCCGCTTATCTTCAAAAGCTTTAATACAAAGGTAGGTTCAACCTTTTTCAAATCTGGAAACTTGGCTAACCTTTCAGAGCCCCTTTAAATGCGTTCAGTTAATGAAGTGATTCATCCCGTACACCAACAATATGCTGAGCATAATGCTTCTAGGTTTCTCTTTGGACTGCAGATATGAGGATGTGGAGACGAGATATGAAGATTAAGAGCTGCCTTGACAAAGCTGCCTCCCCTAGAGGGAGATAGTGTTTGGTTTGGGTTTGTGGCTTTCAGAGAGAAAATTAAGAGAGAATTCAGTTTCTTTCCACTGTATATAAAGATAGGAAATGCATGATTATTATTTTTTAGACACTGATTCTCCGTTATTGTTTCAAACCTTGGAGTCTTGTTGGTGTGGCCAGACTAGGAGCTGTGGACAAGAGGTTGTGGCATTTCTTAGCCTCTGAGCTCTTTTGTGCAGAGGTCTGGATGAGAATACAAGGTGTATTATAGTAGATAAGTTCCTGTCTAATGTTTTCTTTGCTTTACCTACTGATGAAGAAATGAAGTTCCTGAAAACCAGACTTTTTGTTAGTTGCAAGGACCCATAGAAATCTATCTCAATCTCTGCAAAGAAGTGCCATCTACAGCCTATCTTAGACAAACTGTTTCCTGATAATTAAGGTTAGTAAATAAGTCTTTTATTTTCCTCTGAAATACACAGCAGGGAAGGTTGCAGCTAATGGGAATTTTGGATGCTCAGCAGCTTTCAGGGTTAATTTTTTCTCTGTTGGATTTAAAACTAACTTTTCACAGTCTCGCAGGACAAACTGAAGAATGTGTTTTGAGAGAGATGCCTAAACTATCAGAGGATAGGACTGCTTTATAAGAGTATAGGTGCTCTAACAATGAGTGAGCATTTTTATTTTATTCTTGTAGATAATCACACTTATTTTATTTTATTCTTGTAGATAATCACACTTCGTCATAGCTTTTTAGATGTTGATGCTTGTTATTAGCCACAATTACTGAATGGTGGTTTTCCTAAGAAAAAATTGTTGCCAACAAACCAAGTGTCAGACCTCAATTTCAACTTCTGAGGAAAGAACAGCTGCAAGATCAGCCAAACCTGCTGTGCTTTCTATGTACTGTGCTATGTACTGCTTGTTCTGCTCAGTGTAACTTCAGTGTGACATTTTACTCTCAAAAGGCAGCCTAGTCAGCTGTAAATGAATAATGACTCACTAGTATCAAGCAGAGAATAAGACTTACAGATATCCTCAGAGCCCAGAAATGCGCCTGGCACCTGTGTCTCTTGTTCTAAATATCCTGGATTTTTCTGACCTCTTCTAGCTCAGAGGATCACAAGCATCATTTGGGGAAGCTTGCTTCTTAAGACCTGTGAAGATTTGTCTATAATCAGTGTGCTCCAAATCTTTGTGACCAGTTATTTTACTTAGCTTGATTCTGAAGTCGGAGGAACAAATAAAGGGAGAGCAGACCCAAGCTCTCGTGAACTTTGAACTTATTTGAATTTGAAGCTGATTAGCTACAATGGAGAGAACCAACACCACAGTCTAAACACCCTGAAATTCAGCACAGCAAGCTCCTGGATCCGAGCCTGTGGTTCACATGCATCTTTACCTGTAATCCATGTGAGAGATGTAAGCAGCTTCTAGTTGTCTCCTTTCCAGAAATACAGGGTTGTTTCTCCATTGAGTAATGCTGCTGAGAGATGACACAGAAGGTTTCCCAGCTTCTGGACCCCTGGGTTTTCCCCAAGTGTCAGGTCACTCCTCCTCACAGATAATTGTTTACCATCATCATTTAAAAGCACTACATTGTCTATGACTAGATTTACAGGTACAACCACTTAAAAAAAAAAAAAAGTATTCACAAACAGTGAGGTAAATATGCAGGTTTATTGCAGCCAAGCCACTCCTTTCCATGCTCATTCCTTCTCAGATATCTGCTCGTGGATGTTAAAACCCTGAGCACCTTTGGCAGGGGGACTGAGGTCTGAATCTGCAGCACCTGTAGCTGAGGAGCAATATTTGGGAAGGAATTGTTGTCCAAGCAAGAGCAGCAGCTTCAACTTGTGTCCCATGGGAGACAAGTGAATCTGAAGTTATATATTATGTAAGACGTAGGGGATGACAGCAGTTTATCATTAACCTGAACTCCGCAAAAAGCATATAAGGAAAGAAAGAAGAAGAAAGACAGAGAAGCAGCCAGGATGGACACCCCCATAAGGATCAACAATCCTGCGGACATCTCTGTTATTGTCATCTATTTTTTGGTAGTCTTGGCAGTGGGACTATGGGTAGGTTGGAATTTTATTTTATCTTTTTTTTTACTTCATGAGCAGGTAGTTTATAGGGTCTTGGGAAAATGGGTCAGTAAATGAAAATGTATGATTGTATAAAGATTTTGGTGCTTGTTTGAGATAGGTAATAAGCACATGGTGAGGAAAATGTGGGTATTTACTGAAGAGGGGATAGTGGCCTGGGATTGCATCCGTTTCAGTGGATGAATGGAGCTAGCCGGAAGGGTGGAGAAATGAGGTTTGTGTGGGGAAGGAGCTGAGAGATCTGATCAGCAGAGATCAGGCCAGCTGGGGCCCCTGTTACAAAGCAGGCTAGAGGTGCGTAGATGGGGTTATTACCGCAGGGCACAGCAGACTGCAAGGAGAACTGCTGGTGTGAGGTGATGCCTTAGGAAACAGCGAGAAGGAGTCAATCTGTGGGGACAGCGGTCTGGTGGTGTAACACTAAAACTGCAGCTGTGACCGTGTGACAGACCAGGGACAGCAGACCACGCTCAGCAAAGGAGTGAGATGGGTCAACATTGTAGGTGCCATTTGAGGACAGCATTATCGTGGGGTTTTTTTGCCAGCAGGATCTTGACTACAGGGTGCAGTGCCATTGAAATTATGGGCAAGGAACAGTTTCAGAGGTGGCGAGAGATGGCAATGACTTTCTGTTTGAGATCTAAGCGCAGCGGTGCCTCCTGCCCCTCACCCCGGTGATGTTGAATGTGCTGAGGACTGCAAGGGTAAACTCTGTGCCTAATCCGAAAACAAAGCCCAGTGGTTTCTCAGCTAATGGAGAGATGCAGATACTATCCTACTGGTGTAACCACAGTGCTGAAGGGTTTGAAGATAATAGGCCAGTACTGTGAGCTACAAAGCTGTAAACAGTGGAATGTCACTAAATTTTTGTTTCCTTGGGGCAAGCTCTCCTGGTCACCTGAACACCTGACCATTAACGAGTGGGGAGGAGGCATTGTCTGTCAGTAATTCTGGGCTTGCCAGGAGCCAGGGGTCCATTGCCAGGGGTCCATTTCACAGAGCAGAGCAGTCAGCTGCAAAACAAATCTTCCTTTCTAGTAGCCTGGCAACATTTTGAAGAGCACCAAAAATTTGGGGTGTGCACAAAATCAACACAACCTTTCCTTTACCTCTTCACCATGGTAGTAGATGCCAAAAACGTAGCAAAAAATCCCAAGCCCCAGTATACCTGAGCACCTTGCCATGTTGTGGAAGGGAGCTGGGTCTTTGCCACGGAAGTCTGGCCATTGCTGTAGTTGAACTTTGTTTTGAAGGTCTGTGACAAAAACTGTCTCATCTGTGGCTTATCAGGCAATTGTGTGCTGAGTAATTCCCGGAACCGTTTCTTTCTGGCAACAATGTGCTCTTTATTGGACAAATACTCAGTTGCTGTGTGTAGTTAAATATAAATCTATTGTATTTACTTCCTTTCTTCTTCATCAGAAGAGAAGATTTGGCTAATTTTCCCAAGTCTTCTTTCTTTATTTGCCTGTTCAAAGTCCTTCAGAAGAGGCAATGGGAATCCAGTATTTGGATCAGGGTCATTAACAGAAATTGGACGAAGCTTCCCTCTAAAGCCCATCCCTTGACAAATACAAAATACATGTGTGAAAAGTAACTTTTAGTTTGCTTCTTTGTTTGAATTTTAGAAAGAAGCAGGTACAATGCTGATATCACAACAAGAAAATAGATTTTGGTAGCTATCTGCTGGGACTGGATAGTGTTGAATAAAAAAACTGTGCACTTTCTGTTAATGAAATTACAACTTACATTCTTTTTTGATGCCTGAAATCAAAGCCATTGCACCCCTGATGAAGTGTTCATATGAGATTTTATCTGAGTGATCATTTTTTCAGTTAAATTAAATTTTATTTTAATGTTTCAAACTGTAATGAAAGGTGAAACAATGAAACTTTACTGGTTAACATAGACCTAGATACAAGAATCATTGTTCCATTGTATTATTTTCTTCATCATAAGCTTGTTCTTTTTAGCCACTTTAATTTCCTACACTTTAACCTCCACATGTATTTTATCCCTTCATTGTACCTACCTGTTTGTTCTTCGTCTGTGTATAGCTTGCCTATTATACTTAAAATATGATTCAGTCTTCCTTCCTTTCCTTTTTTTTTCCCAGGCTATGTACTCAACCAACCGAGGGACAGTAGGTGGATTCTTCCTCGCTGGACGAAGCATGGTTTGGTGGCCGGTGAGTGCCACATAGTGTGTGTATATATAAAACATGCGTATGTGCATCCACTTCTGTATGAGTATGTCTAGTCCTTCATTTTTAAGTATCTCTACAATACTGTTGAGGCAGTGATGGCCATACTGTGTAGATGCACTTCAAACCTTTGCTCTAGCCATGGTGACACAGGGCAAACTGCACAATGAAAGCCACCTGCTAGGCTGGGAAAAGTGTAGGGGAAGTTGCCTGTGTTGAGCTCTGAACTGTCTTATGTGCTCAACTTGTTTGAACCTAGATACATTGGTAATGCCAGCGTAGACAAATCCAATGCTTTATCTTTCAGCCCACTTTAAAACTTTCTAGTATTTTGAGTGTACTACTTTCACTGCACTCAAAGAAGCTGGCTCTTTCTGAGGTTATCGCAGAGAAGAATTAATTTACTGAAATTTTTCTTCCTATTACTCTACTGTTTCCACTTTTGGTAGTAAGTTCTGTACAAGTCTGTACAAGAAGAAAACCCTGGAAATATTATCATAAGTTATTGGTAAAATACAGTTTATATCTATTTGAAGATCTTTTGTGACTTATGTTTGTCTTCTATGAATCTGTATCCTCTTTCGAGTTGGAGAAAAGGAGTCACAGACACAAAACATGTTCACAGCCATCCATCAGTCCTCTGGCAGAAAGGATATTAGAAACAATTATCTATTTCTTCCAGACCGTACAGTCTGTTTAGTGTGACTTCTTGGAAAAGCAGAAAACTTGGACAAACCTTCATTTTTTGTATTACTTGTGTTGTACATGCTTCCATGTGCTTGAATGGAAAAGTTCAACATTCCTGATCTTGCATTTAGTCTCCAAAAATGTTTTTGCACTTAGGCCTTTGATTCACAACTCCACCCACAAGGATTCAGTTACAGGATCAGGGAGAGAGAGAGAAAGTGTTTGTTGTCTAAAAATTTAGGAATTTTCTCAAAGTAGGCTGCAGAAATACCTACACTTCTTTCCATCGTCTTGTGCTTCAGGGAGCTGCTATCTGCCTTTAGAAGGGATTGGAACTGCCTCTTTAATGACATAAAATGATTAAAGGCCAATGACAGTAACAGGTTTCCTCATTTGATATGGTAGATCTAAGAAAATTCAGGTTCCATTGGCAGATTGAGGAAAGAGAAAGTTTCCAACTTATTTTAAGATAAATCCCATAACTCTAGAGGGAGAGAAAAAACCCAAACAGATTACTTTGCTTAACTGTCACTTTAATCAGCAGGCTGGTTTTAACCTTCTGCAATTCTTTGTGCCTGTCAAGGGTGAAAATGAATACCCTTTTGGGCAGATATAAATGAAGGTGGAAGAAGCGAGGCAGCAAAGACTCATCATAAAGAATGTCTGTCTTGCTGCAGTGGCACCGAGAACTCCTAATGCTTCCCCTAAGACCCAGGGGGGATTATCTAACACTGAGTTCTCTGTCAACACAAACCCAACACATTCAGCATGCTGCCTTCCTCCAGAGGAAAGACAAAAGGTATGACCCAAGGGCGCAGTGGCTGCTGCAAGGATCACCTCTCTCTCCTTTCCCAACTCTGCGAGCTCAGCAGAGATGAAGTGCTAGTCATCAGTGGAGTCCTAGGCCACCTCTTCCATCCTTCCCTTTGGAATGCCATGAGTGTCGTTCTGCACTATAAAAAGAAACCCTTCTTGCTATTCTTCCTGGTATCACTCAAAACAAACGAAAGGCAAGCACTCAAACCACAAACTAAACACCATGTCAGCAGCACCACCTTGGAAAGTTTGCCTCTGATAAAAAGAGATTCCAAAACACCTATTCCCACAGTTTAGCAGGTAGATAGGATGTCAGTCTCCCAGTGCAAACTGGGCTGAAATGACTTGGAAAGCAAGGAAAGTATAGAAAGTTCAGTCAAATATGTGATCGCAGTTCTGCAACAGCTGATGTTGTGTGTGTTTTTTTACTGCTTCTTTGCTTTGGCTTTTCTTTGAATAACCTGACATGGTTCTGGAAAGCCCAGACACATTTTCACAGACTGCAGATGAGAGGCAGGGTGGGAGAAGCTGCTTTGTTAGTGGACTCTTATTAATCAGATTTCTTCTCTGCGATTTCAGGATAACAACCCTTGCCATGTAATTGCTTTCTGGAACAGAGAAAAATGAATAAAAAAAAATCCTTCCACAAAGTTGTTATAAACTTAATTCCCTTTAACAATTTGTATTTTTCAGTGGTTGTGCTATGTTCTATACTTTACAGGGCCACAGTAAATGCCTTTCTGACCCCACAGGGAAAAAGTCTCATTAGCAGTGTGTTAGGATCTCTTACTGATAAGCCTGGGAAAGGGATTCTATCTGCTTAAATAATATAATAGCTGTGGTTTAGTAGACTAGGGCAGACTCTGGCAATCAAGGGCTGGAAATTAGTCCCACTTTTGATATGGATTTTGCATGTTTGTCTGTCACTTTGCCTGATTTGTGATTCAGTTTCTCAATGTATAAAGTAGGAGCAAGACTGTTATCCCGGGCCAAATCTGTCCAGCTTTGGCTCTGATTGTTGGCTCCAGCAGAATCCATGAAGGTTGGTTAGTATTTTGCAGAACCAAGCCCACAGTTAATCTTTTCTGGCTGTTCTGCGGAGGTAGTAGGTCATTTTATTATTCCACTGAAATCACTGCCCTTGTGCAGTGGATGAGTCAACTCAGTAGTTCCAGTAGTTAATTAGGGATCAAGGTATATAATTACATTCTCGCTGATTGCCAGAAATTGAAACCCATCGTGGATTAATCATAATGGTATGAAATGCTGTGGCCTTTCCTTGTTTTTTTTACAGAAACTGAGAGAGGAATCTTCAAGAAACTGGTTTTGGTCTCTTTGGCTTTGAGGGAAATGTCTTCAGGAAAGACAGTATGGCTCTTTAAATACTCATGACCATCTCTGCTTTTTCCAAAAAGACACAGAGGAGCTTAAGGGAAGTGACAGCTTTGTAACAATGGGCCTTGCAAACTAAAGTTCAGCTGCTTTTGATCCACACTCATGGGATTAACAGTATTTCGTGCACAATTAAAAAACCCCACAACTTCAGTTTTTGAAGCTTTACTGCTTTTCAATTTTGTTCTTCAGGTTCTGTAGTTTTGCAGACAGAGCTGTCTGCACAAAATTATGGGTTACTTCACAGACCTCCGTTCCTGAGGCATAAATGCCAATAGTACAAAGAGGGTCTGCTGGACATCTGAAGTCCAGCTATGGTTAGAAAGATTTACTGAAAAGTATGTTTGAAGCATGCGGAGTCAAGGACCTACTACACTTTAAATAAAAATGTAACTCAGCTCATTTGTTGTTGCTTCGGTGTTGATCTTTGGTGAAAGAGGTAAGAATCAAGGAAAAAAAAACCTAAATGGGTTTTTGCTTCAGTTCTCTGTGGCTTATTTTCATGGCCATCAGAACTGACCACTGGCATGATTTCTCTGATGTCTACATCCAGTTAAGTTTTATATATTCTCAGAATTCTCTCCATTTGCTGATCCTGACACTGCTGTGAGGAGCCAGGAAAGACAAATGGTATGAATAAGATTTGTATTTCCTTTTCTTAGGTGACGTGAAATAAGAAATTAACTTCTTTTGTCAAGTTCCATGCAAAAATAGTGTGGAATCAATAGTTTTCAGAACAAAAAGAATAATAAAATAATCAAAGCAAAGCTCTGGTAGAAAAGGAAAAGTTCAGTGAAACAGATTTCTGCAGAATCCATAAGAATTTTCCAGCTGGCTGGGTGGTGTTGTTTCTGTCTCAGAGGACAAAGGTGGAAAGCTATAAGATCAGCCTGCTTGTGACTGCACTTTTCCAACAGCCATTGGGCTTGCCGGAAGGCAGAGACATGTTATTTTGATTCATCTCTCTTGCTTAGTGAATTAGTGAATTGGGAAGTGTATAAATGTAGTTTAGTGTGGCAATAATGCAACACATAGAATTTGCAGAGCAATTGGGAAAACAGAATAAAAACCTACACTTCTTTCTTTAGGTTTCAGAGCCTTGCAAGGGTGGCAGTCATATTTCATTGTAAGCTGTGTACAGATATTTCCAAAGTCACTAAGGGCGATCTCAAAAAACTCAGGTGGGAAAAATGACGTCCTTCCATCAGGGTGAAGTCACACATTGCAGGGAACAGTTGTGAGTTAAAGAAAATCATGGACAGTGACATGGAGTAGTTCTCAAACAAGTGAATGAGAAATTTGTCCAGGGAAGAGGGGTATGAGATGCAACTTCTGCAGGTGCTCCTCAGGACAAGGCTCACAGTCTTGTGATGATGTGGGCTAGCTTCTGCTGCTCTCTGTAAAGGGGCTAAAGGCCACAGGCAAAGTGTGCTTGGGATCGGGGAAAAGAGTTCAATACCAAGCTAACACTTTCCAACAGGAAAGTGGACATTAGGGGCATAGGATATGTATTAGCATGTGCTGGGAGGGAGAAAAACTGTAAGCTGTAAAGTCGGCACACTGCCGCTGCAGTGGTCACTGATTTGCAAAGTACATCGTATGTGATTTGGAACAGCAAGCACCAGGATGTCAGCATCCTCAAGTTAATGAAAAGAGCAAGGTGAAACGGTTAATGAATAACACAGAAAAAAACGTAGCGATCATCATTGGTCTGCAGTGTGGTGGTATTTTCCTGAACAGAGTGCTCTTGTTAAAACCTGACCTCTTAAAAGATTTTAAAAGAGTTAATGTTCCACATTTGCCTCAGGTTAGTTTGGTTTTTTGTCCTCTATTTCCCTCTTAACAGCTTTTCTTCCTTGCAGTCAACTTTCTTCTTCTCCTCCTAGATCTGTTTTAAAATCAATTCACTAATGCATTCCCTGAGAACAGTTAACACTTCTAGAGAACTGCTTCTGTCTGTCAGCCCCAGTTTCAGCCCAGCGCTCTTTAGGCCATGCACAGGTGTACTGCAGCATCCACCAGTGGCAAATCAAGCAGCTCCAGTTGTCAGCCTGTACTTCAGCAGTAAGTTCTTCAGCAAGACACCTTGGGCCCAGAGCCCATCTGCCTTTCTACCCTCATCCTTATACTACTCCTCTGGCAGACTGGAAATCTCCCTTTCCCCTCTGCCATCAGCAGCTGACGGGTTGCAAGCATATTTGGTAAACAGTCCTCTTGCTTTAATGATGCTGCCATGTTAAGGGTGATATGCATTTTCCCAGCTATGAAGTCATGTTCTACCTTTCCATGTATACATAATAATAAAAAACATTTTTAAAATCGCATCCATTACTAATATGTGTTGACCTTACACTTCTGCTGCACTGGGTGTTGTCTCAATTCGGAGAAGAAAATTTAGAAAGTGAAGGTGGTATCTGCATTCACATGGTTTTGTCCTTGCGCTGGCCCTAAATACACTGGTAGTTTTTCATTGTTTTGGTTTGCTTTTCTATTTTGCTTTCAATACAGTTGTGCTCCGGGTAAAGTTGGGCACACAGCATTGTCAATGAATGCTACAACACGTCCCGGAGTTTCAGGCACTGAGCCAAAGCTTACTACAGCTGTCAGTTCTTAAAGTTCTTCATTAGCTGCCTTTGTTACTTGGATCTGCTTGCAGTACATTTTAAGCTTTTGAAACAGGAGAGGGAACACATTAAATAAAATCAGAGATTAATGCGGTTAATCTTTTCTGGTGATTGCATTTCTGGTAACCTAGATTTACGTTTAATTATTCATCTCCAGGGAAAGCACTGGACAGCAGTGTTAATGCTTGGTATAAATGGTATTTGTTTCTTCGCAATCATTGCTGGGAAAACACTGTTGCTGTCACAAAGAGGTTAGAAGAAAAAGTCTTGTTTATTACCAGTGATCTCTCTGGCTTATTTGCTAATGCTTGTTGCAACACTTACCATACCTGTAGAAGTATCTGTCATATGACAAACTGGTTACATTTCTGTAGGGCACAACTGACTTCTAGAAATGGGTAAAAAAAAAAAATTGCAAAACTGAGTGAACTTAGAGACATAAATTTCCTGTCACAGCAGGAGAACAGTTTGTCTGCAGAAAGACTAGAAGAAATCAGGAGATCAAACTGAGGAAAGAGTAAGCTTGGAAAAGAAAGAGTGGAATCCTCTGACAAATTTATTTATATGTTGCATATAAAGAAATAGGGGAGGAAAATCTAATTTGAGATTAGAGATCAGGATTGTGAGATGAAGAGCACGGTTGCTATTCCTGGCTATGGCATAGCTCTATAGAATACATCTGATCTTCAGAGGTGGATTTCTGTGATGAAATTCCTTTTATCCTCCCGAGTTTCAGGCAATTGACTCTGTGCTTTCAGAAAGATTGACTAAACTTTTACTGCTACTCAAAGAACTCACTGCAGTGACCACAGACCTGGAAATCTGTAATTATTCCCTTTATATACATTTTAGGATTCTAAAAATCTCCCATTGAGTTGCAGACAAGGAATATTTCTCCTTTTGTAAGATGACTCTGAACATATTCCAACCGCCTGTATTTGGGGAACTACATAAGGACAATGTGCCGGATGCGGGTCCTGCGTTCAGACGTCTAAAAAGCCATTTTTAAGCACCTTGGGGTCTTTCAACATGAGAGGTCTACCTCAAATGAGAGCATTAGAAGCTGGCCAGCAGAGGTTCTTTTGCCTACTTTCTATATACTTTTCTTCTATTTTTAACCCTGTTTCCTTTTTTGCTTTGTAGCTTTCAGAGGACAAAGAAAAAATAAAAGTGAATAAAAAAATGTTCACTCACCTCGTTTCATCTTGGAACTCCTCCAGCTCACGTCTTCTGCCTACAATACCCAATCCAACCTCTTTTTCATGCTCAAGTTCTCACCCTGCTTCCTTCAATGTCTGACCTTGTAAATTATCGTTAGGCATTTCTGCTGCCCTTAATGGTTTTGTTTTGAGGAAATGAAGTTCATACCTTTTCTCTTCACCTTTTCTATTGTCAGAGCTATTTGACGAAGAATTAGATCTTTTGGCACAATCTCTCTTTTGTAAATGCGCCTGCCAGTCTGTAATACAACATAAACCTTCCAACTTTTTTTTAATCTCTCCCTGTTCATCAGTTCCTATGTTCTCCCTGCTGTGCTGTTTGTATGATCACTGCAATATTTGTAAGGCTTAGAGATCCAGGACTTCTTAAATATAAGTCCTTGATATGCTATTGTTTGTACCTTCCAGAAGCACTTTCACAGCAGATATTTCTGCCATGCAGCTTTCAGAATTTAATTCAGTAATGGAATGTCTTTTGACTAAAAGTGAACCAACAACAAATTCTGTACAATTCTCACCGATGATACACTTAGTTCCACAGACTGTGGAATACGAAATAGGCAGTCCCAGTTTGAGAAGTGGGTGTGCACATATCGTTTCCTCCTTGAGCAAGACAGATCACAGTCTTTTTCCCTAATTGTTTGGATATCACCCAAATGTCAGTTAGTCAAGTTTTGCAAATATTTTAAAATCTATATTGGTGGAATAAACTGTTTGACTTAACTGGAAGAAAATCTTCTATGCAACATCCTATTCTTTCTCATTGTTGTAGTTATGATGGCTGGAATCTCAGGTTTGAGGGGGAACAATAAGAGTCTTGAAAGTTGTCAAATAAGTTGGTTGTCAATCATTTTCATTGTCACCATCTGATGATAAATAGGCATGAGTACAAAATGCCAAATGAACTTGGTTTTTTCAAGTTACCATGAACAGGACCTAAGACCCAAATATTGCTCTTTCTGCTTCCAGATCGGTGCTTCTCTGTTTGCCAGTAACATTGGCAGTGGACATTTTGTGGGAATAGCAGGAACAGCAGCAGCTGGAGGAATTGCCATCGGAGGATATGAATGGAATGTAAGTGGCATGTATTTAAGCAAAAATATTTATGACATCAGGATTTTCTGCAGAGGTTAATCAAAATAACATTGCCTAATAATTCATGACTGTCAAAGTTCACACTTGGCAACACTTATTTTATGTACAGACCAGTAAGTGCCAATGTAATCTACTATTTAGCTCGTCCTCCTTAGTTCTTGTCCAGGCTACTGGGAGAAGACGACCCTTCTCTGTGGAATGAGGCTTGCTAGAGAGCATTTGAACCAAATAAATTGGTGGATTCTCTTCTGTATGCATATCTTTTGATTACTTTTGAAATATTTATAAATAGCATTTTCAGATTGCAGGACATTGGGAAGAATTTATCAGTTTTGTAATCCGTAGTGATTTTTACAGCATTTGCTATGTAGGAATTGTTGAAGGGGCTTTGATTTCTTCACAGGCTATAAGAAATTTTGGACATCCTTCACAAACACCTGCATTCCAAAAATCTTTTCCTCTTTATTTTCTCCTTCCTTTAATTACATGTGCGTTTTGCTTATGGTTGCAGTACGGGTAGATATCCAAGCTGGCTTTAAATTAACGACTTGAAGTACAGGAGCAGTGTTAACTGAAACAGCAGGGAGATTCACATGAACTAACTCAGTGCATTTCCTTGTATTCTCAGGCTCTGTGGGTGTGGATAATAATGCCCTTGTTCTGCTTAATTCACCTTCATGGAAAGGATTGTACCATGACACAAAGGACTTAATGAGTGTACATAGGTTGATACTTCCCTTGCATTTAATTCTGTGCAGTGAAAGAAGGATACTACCCTGAGACATCTGGCTTTTTTTCCTTAGCAAGTAGATGGTTACTGCAAATAGTCAAGTACTCATATGATACAAATATTTAAAGAGAAGGATAAAGGCTAAAATGAACTCTATGAGACGTGCTCTATGAGATGTATCTTTCTATATTAGATTACACTAGTCCTGCAACAAAACTGATTCCCCTTCTATTTGTACAAAACCTAAGCAAACCGAAGCAGAACATTGCTTGAAATTTCATGGTATTCAAATGTCTAGGACTAACCCTTCTTCAAACATATCCACCTCTAACAGTTCATCTCCTGGGAGATTCTCTGTGGACTAATATCAATACACAGTGTACAACAATTGCTGTTTAGGAAGAAGCAATGATGCATGTGTGTGTGTGAGCAGATATGCTACCTAGCTTATTACTTATAACATAGTGGGATTGGTGTACAGGTTAATAGACATGGTGGAAATATTGCTCTTGACTGTGTAATCTGATTATCCTCTTGAAAGAAACATGCAGTTTGCCTATTATCATCCTTGTGTATCACTATTATTTCACTGAAATTATTTCTTATTTGTATTAATGTGACAGGAGAAGCTGACCCAGTATTTCTTGTCCATCTTGTGGTTTTGGTCTAAGGGCAGAACTTAAAAGACACACTTAAAAAAGCCCTCTAAGCCCTGTGGACTGAATAAATATAGAGTACAGCTCTGAGAGCAGGATTTTGTTCTATATTTGTTGATTTAAACATGTACAACTCTGTATCAGACAGCATTTACTAGCTGTTCAAGTCAGAAAACTGTGACACTGGAATGGAGTAAGATCTATAGTTCACAAAATACACGTGGTAACACAAAGTATATGAGGAAATGGTAATGTGGAAATACAAAATATTTTACAAAATGCATGTGGCACATCCTGTACAGTATATGGAATTGTTGTAAAACATATGGCTGTCTCACAGAGACCCAGTGCAGAAGGCAGTTAATGATCAAAATAACAGTCAAAAGAAGTGTGGCTCTCCCCAGTACCCAGATTTGCAGATGTCACAGCATACCATTGCAGCGTGCCTGATTCTGAGTGGGAAAGTATCCTGCGTTGGTGGCTTGGGATCAAGATGCTAGCAAATAGGTCTCTGGTAGCGGACTTCACCTTCCTTCATATTTCCCAGAAAGGGTAGTCTTGTGGCCTGGCTGCATTTTAACCATCGTTAAACCAGGCTCCCTGGTCTTGCTCTGAAGAGGGCTAGGATAGTCTGATGCTGCTAGTGGAGTGGTGCTTTGATACTAAAGGGCAATCTGTTGAGCAGAAATCAGCTGTTTTTCTAGAAAATGTATTATTATCATGCGTGCTTCTCTGGGGCATCTAGCCTGACATCCAGGCTGCATAATACCTGACAATTTTTTTGGCCAAGATTTCATTCCCAAATTTTCAACTGCAAATCAAAATCCCCCAGCCCCACAATACCCAGGTTCATATAGTTTTCACATAGTCTCTAGCTGCTGTTGGGTCTGATAACCGGTCTTCAGGAGTGCTATCTAGAGATTGGAGGCTAATTCAACTGACCTTGTCTTGGCTGCAGGCTCTGGTAATTGTGGTTATTCTAGGATGGCTGTTTGTACCCATCTACATCAAAGCCGGGGTAAGTCAAAACACTAGATTATGCTTTTCTTTGTTGCTCATGTTTGCAGATCACGTCTTGAATACTGCAAAGCCATTACGAATGGCATGAGATCTGAGCACACTAGAACTGTACTATATTATGTCTGTATATATTTGAAAAGTGAGGATTCTCTGTTCTGAGATCTGAGCTGAGAAGTACTTGGTACTCTCTTCTTGTTCTTTGAGTCCTGGAGCTGCTTTTCCTTGTAACTGCATTTGCAGCTCCCATCCCTTTGCGCTCCACTCTTGCAGTATCTGAGTAGCAATAAACTTCCTCTGATTTTTCTTGTATCTATTCCCCATTACCTGAAGCCTTATCTACTCCCGCTGCAGGTGGTGACAATGCCAGAGTATCTGAAGAAGCGTTTTGGTGGGAAACGGATTCAGGTCTACCTGTCCGTCCTTTCTCTGATCCTGTATATTTTCACGAAGATCTCAGTAAGTCAAACTTTCATAGCATTTCTTTCATCCTGCATTGATCTAAAGAAAAGAAACTCCTATTTACAATATTGCTCACACAGCTGGTCAATTGTTTCTGATTTGGAGCCCTTGGTTGAAGTAAGGACTGTAAAAACATGATTTGGTGTTTTCTTTATTTTGTCTAGTGAGATTGTGTATCCAGATCTGTTCTGCAAACCAAGTTTTTTCTTTCCTGGCAATGTCTCTTGATGCTTGTTGTGCTTTCTCTTTCTTTTTTAGGTTTTAAGGTTTACTTTTACATATTCTCTCCTCTAGAACAAGTCAGAGGGGAGAGAAACTTGTGTTGTATTACAGTCTTTTATCCTAGGGATCTGTGAAACATGGCAGGAATTTTTGTTCCCAAACTTCATATTTATCTGTTTTAACATCTTCTGGTGAACATGCCAACAGTAATATAGATAAGCAAAAAGAGCAAGAGGGCTATGGAGAAAAAGACAATAATAGGAATTAGAAAATAAAAGAGTGGGGAAATTCACAGGAGCGAAATTATAACAGCTGAAGTGAGAGGAGGGAGGAGAATTTCTTTTAATGGAAGAGTGGTTGGAATAAAGTTTAAGGTGCTATGAAGTTTAATGTTTATTAAGTAAGTGGTTGTGTTGCTGTGAAGTAGTGAAGGGAGCAGGTATTTTCCATATATCTTTAAAATACCAAGCTTCTAAGGAGGTCCACAGTTCAGGCATACCTCAGTCTGTTGTTTTGCAGAAGTTGCCATGGCAGATTAGTCTTTGCCCTCTGAATGGGAGCTGAGTGATAATAGTGCAATTTAAGCTAAAAGATTGGCCTTTTGCTCTCATTCTCACATCTTCATGATAACTGATCCTTAGAAAGGTTATAAATTAAACGGGTTGGTACTGTGGAGCTGGCGTCAGAGTGGGATTTCCATATATTTCAAAACGATTAGTTAATTTGCTGTTGTTGTGCTTAACAACCATAATCAGAAATCCCAGGTATGACACAGAGTTCTGGCAGCTGTAGCAGGTGGGAACCTTTTCCAGTCTGATGATTCACCATCCTATCCTGCAACACAAGTTAGTAATGAGCCCATCAAGGTGTTACGTAGGTTCTGAATTTACTATCTTTTATTTCCAGCCTCTATCACGCCTAAGGATCTGGTCATGGGATTTCACCCTGTTTCATCTAGAGCATCTTGCTCCCAGGCAAGAGAGGTTCTCCATTTAAGCTTGCAGTGTGGTCATCAGGCTGAAGCATGCTCTCCTGCTCTTGTTGTCCTGTCTTATGAGGGAGCAAAGCAATAGTAAAGACATCCATACAGCAGCAGATTACCTGGGCCCCACTCTTATCAGTGGCCCGGCCCAGCTTCCCATCAACCTAATTATTCCAGATGTGTGTGGGGAATTGCCATGGACTTGGGTCTCTGTGCCCTGCAGGGGAAAAATCTGGTGCACAAGTTCCTCTAACCATTTCTCTTGTTTCCCTCACCTGCCCAGAACAACTCTGACAGTGTCTGTCCCGTCTACAAATGTGGCGTAGATTTCTGTAGTGTACAAACATGCCTTCTGCATTGTTGTCTTATGTCACTGTGTTGGGTAGGGCAGGATTTGCCCGGGTCTGATTTACTTGCCGTATCTTATTCAGAATAGGCAGAGCAGTCAAAGTCCTTGGAGGTTTCAGGTACTGTCAGAGGATGTCAGAGTTGTTTTTTCTATACTATGCTCAACACCATGCCCAGATTGTCTCCAGATGAACCAGTTTCAGAAGTAGAAAGAGCTGTTCCACCCTGGACCATTGCTAACTTCTTTGTGCTGCGTAGAGGTATGCATACTACGTGAAGCTAGCCCAGGTCTCTCCTCTCAGAGGCACGTTACATATCCAGACATACCCAGGTGTTGGCAATCCATGCCATAGCAGGCTTGGAGATTTGCATTTTACTTCCTTGACTGCTGCCTTTGCAAACACTCCACTGTGATCTTTGGGACTTACTGAGATTTGATATAGAAGGATGGATTTCTGCCCTGCCCTTAGCGGGAAGTCACACCTATCAGTTGAATGGCAGTTTGAATGGCAGTGATACTTACTGCCACTTCTCCTTGTAGAAGAGTGGCATCTTGTTTCTGGGATACTTATTTCATATGCTGATTCCTTAATGTGTTAAAATGCTATCTAATATTCATAATAATAAAATTATTATAGTACTTTCTCATGAACAATATAATATGTCAGGTCATGTGAGTCCCGGCATGCTCTGTCTGGTACATTGCCCCCCACCATGTGATAATCAGATTTCCTTTGCACACCTCTGTACAAGTTTGTTATCATTTCTCTTTTCCTGCACATTTTATGTGTATTTATTTGTTGATTTCTTACATTGTTCTGTGGCTAATCAACGACTTGCCAGACAAGGCCATGCTGCAAGGTCTTTGGGATCAGGACACATGTGATCTTTGAGCCCAAAGGATTTCTGTTGCACAGGTGCCTCACATGTACGTGCTTCCTAAGCATGAGGTGCTTTCTGAGTAATGCCCAGAGCAGCTTTCAGGTGCTTGCTAGCCACCGGTGTTGCTGATATTGGTCATTATGCCAAAGAAAGTGGCCTAGTACAAACAAAATCTTGATGGAGAGTAATTGACTAAATTGTGACAAAAGGGAATTAAGACCTGAATGCTTTTGAAGAAACCAGAAATTGTAAGCTGGAATTTCTAAATGTGTTACAGCATTTTCTTTACATTTGTTGTGCATAATTTCGTTAGTACGCATATGGGCATAGACTTACCAGGGGGAAGACGAGGGAGAAGAATAACCTCCTCTTAGGACTGCACGGTGTTGTGAGTAAAGAGTATGTGTCACTGCCCTGACTCCCACATTGACGTTGCATCTGGATTCACTCAATTGGCATGTGTTCTGCCCAGTTGTTCCTGCACTATCTGTATGTGGCTTTGGAGAGATAGCTTGTAATGTAAAGGAAAGATTTACTCAGAGATAAGATAAAGATCAAATAGTGTCCGTAAAAGAGTAAAAATGGAGATACAAGGAAATATTGGAAGGCAAGAATCTAATTGGGAGGGAGGAGCAGTGAAGTTGGAAGGTAACTCAGCAATCAGGATGCTAAATAATTAACGGTACATTTCTTTCTGAGGGTCATTTTAGGACCATTAATATTTAATGATATGTAGGCTAAACTAAAGCCAAGAACAATAAAAGAAAGATTTGGGGCAAAAGCTGATCACTGATGTGAAAAGACAGGAAAAAAATATTGCCATAGAGAGAAGGGACAAAGGGTATGGTACAACAGCCACTGGGGATAAGAGCTGAAAGTCCCAGATCCCAGTTCCAAACTAAAACCTACAAGAAATGAAATCACCTCAAGCCTGCTCCAGAGGCAGAGTTTTGGGAGTGCGACTTCGGCTGCTATTCACACTGCTTTGCAGTTGTTTTCTGCACGTCAGGGCAGTAAGGTTGGAGGAGCTCTTGCTGCAGAGGCCTGCACCTCTTCCTCATTCTCTAGAGTGAGCTCAGGGTGAGATACCCTGCAGTCTCGGTTTCAGTGCCTCTGGAATGAAGAGGGTTTCTTCATCCGGCATCTCCCAGCTAGCCAGACTGCGTAACTGCTTATTAGTTTATCTGTCCTGCCTTACCTTAGCCTAGCTGGGGACAAAAGCCGTGCAAGTGCCTTTTCTGTGATCGCAGGCTCTGGCTGTCCCGCAGCCTGGCCCGTGGAACCTCCGTCTCCTCCAGCAAGCTGCCATCCAGCAGCTGCCTTCAGCGATTGTGTACTGTTAAATGAGGATAGGAGTCCCTGCATAGAGCCCTCGCACAGGCGGTGCGGTATGCAGAAAGGAGACATGCAGGTGGGATTGGAGATGAGCCCGTGCACTGGATGCTCAGGAGCAAGGATATGTGCAGATGCTAACCTCTAATGAAAGCATAATTTACAGTAACGCATTACAAGTGCACTGGGGTAGATTATTCTGATTGCAGACTTGGATAAATAGCATCGATGCAAATAATCTCTAAATCAGGAACTGATTTAGTGTGATTAGAATCTCAGAGTGTTACTCTGAAACCTGAACAATTCCTTTCTTACGCAAGAGCTAAAGGTCTCTTTTGTTAGGCAACTGATGTCAATTATTCTGACAGGAACATAAAAATAGAGATAATATAAGATGTTTGCCTTTGATCACCATTTGTCCTGAACCGGCAAGACTAGCTATGCCACATGTATGCAAGCAGTAAAGAAAAAACAAGAGACTTATAGAGTAGCATTAAATGAAGAGAACCATGCTGCATCTTGGAAGTGTCACAGAGTCCATCCCGGCACACAGCAGCAAGTGTAACCTGAGCTTTAAGTAATTTGTTATGAACCTGTCTCTCAGTGTGTAAGCAGTCGTGGGGTGACCCTGTATATAGCTAAAATGATCCATTGAAAAAGACCTGGAAATTCTTTGAGAAGCGTTACAACTCTTGTGAGAGGAGACTGGCAGTTCTACTGAAATGGCCTCTATTTTATTTTTTATTTGTTTGTTTTAGTGTGTGTGCAGTACTATAATGGGTGGAGTTGTGTATCTCAGTACCTTCATTGTGAATATGTAATATGCCATCATCATGAATTTAAACATTGCTTAATCTATAATTTTTTCTTTTTGTAGGCAGACATATTCTCTGGAGCTGTATTTATACAGCTGGCCATAGGACTGAATCTTTATGTGGCCATAATTATCCTCCTTGCTATTACTGCTCTTTACACTATCACAGGTGAGTTTGCAGAGCAGTCTGATAAATTAAAGAAGTTAGGGGAGTCAGAAAAAAGAGAAGAAGGGAGATGAAAACCTGAAATGGGAGTTATTTACAGTGGTCTTTATTTGAAATGGAGAGGTGGTGAGAAAAGTAAAAAAAAAGATTTTCACTGAGACATTTGCACAGGGGCTAACCTGTTTGTATTTACTTTTCTTTGTCATTAGGTGGCCTTGCAGCTGTGATTTACACAGACACCTTACAAACTTTTATCATGGTAGTGGGATCCTTCATTCTCATGGGATTTGGTAAGTAAATCAGATGGGCTAAACTGGAATGTTCAACCACAAATCCCACAGTGGCTATGGAAATGGATCCTGCAGCGTGGAACTCTTCACCAGCAGATTTCAGTTCACATACCTACTAATCAGGGAAGGAAACAGGGATATTGCCAAGCCATTTAGTCAAGTCCATCTCCAAAGCACAGGTGAATGTGTGAGGTAATATATAGCATCCCGTGACAGAACAGGACTTGCTATGGCTAGTGAGGTAAAAGCAGAGCTGTTTGCAGGTGATGCTGGTACTCTAGAAAAGTTCAGAGAATATCTTGTTTTAAGAAAACTATAATTTCATAGATATTCATATGCTAATGCATGAAAATTTCTGATTCAAAGTGAAAAGCTGTTGGTCACGCTGCAGCTTTTTCCTCATTTCTAGGTGCTTGTGTAAAAACTACCCAGACATATTAACATTTTAAGTAAGCCTTGTAGCTGATCTCTGGATATCATCGTGTTGCCAGCTGGACAAAAGATGCAAACTGAATGTTTATGAATAGGACAATGTCTGTGTCCAGAAGACCATATGCATTTTAAAACAGAAACCATGCTGTTAAACAGAAATAATAGGAAGGGATCACAAGAAAGAAAGAAGCAGTGATAAGATTCTGTGAATTTGTACTGTCCTTTCCTTATCCTTCTCAGCACTTGGTTTTCTTCTAGCTAGGTCTTTCACTGAAACTAAATCATTCCGTCATTGTTACAGCAGAAGTAACTTCAGACTGACCTAACCTGGTAAGACCCTGCCTTAGGTTCTCCGTAGGTTAACAGTGTGTGGAAATATGTATCTTCATTTCAATTCTTGGCAAGGCACGTGTGAGGGATGTTGAGACAGTAGAGCCTAAGCCAATGTTTGCGACCTATATGGAAATCTAAAATGAAAGGTCACTTTTTGGTACTTAGATTGTGCGAATACTTAACAAAACTCTGTATACTGCTGTGGTGGGTTGACCCTGACTGGATGCCAGGTGCCCACCAAAGCTGCTCTATTGCTCCCCTTGCTAAGCTGGACAGAGAAAATACAATGAAAATCTCATGGGTGGAAATAAGGACAGGGAGAGATCTCTCACCAATTAGCGTCACAGGCAAAACAGACTCGACTTGGGGAAAAATTGGTTTATTACTAATCAAATCAGAGTAGCATAATGAGAAAAAAACCCAAATCTTAAAACCACCTTCCCCCCACC